ATGGACTGTTTGGAAGAATTCAGGCAAGTGTGGCTTATCTGAGGGCAGACCAAGGTTGATGGAGCAGTATCCACAGAAGAGTTTCATGGAAGGAGAACAGGATTCATGCTATGGCTCTGTTATGCCCCATGGGGATTACACCTCATGCGCCCTTTTACAAGTACAATCAATGGGAAGTTTTGCACTCTGGTTAGCAAAGTCGTAACAGCCAGGGGTGCTCCTTTGCTTCTACCCCCCCCCCCCCAAGAAGAGCTGCTGCTGCAGAATCCACAAACAAGCAAACATTTGTAAAAAGAACAGTTATAAAATGTGGAATTTCTTTTACAACAGCCCAATAAAGGCTTTTTTTAAAAAAAAAATGCACTTCTTTAATAGAAATCATTATGGACTATTAGGAAATCTTTCTACAGTGCACCCATTGATTTCCTGGACTTCTAATGCTATTAGGTTTGTTCAAAAGATTCTCCTTTTTAAAAAGAGAGAGAGAGAGCAAAGCCATTGAACTGATGCTCATTCAAACTTTCTCAGGGGACATGGCATATTCCACCTTCCTGCCACCTGACAAACAAATGCAGAGAGAAATCACAGTCACCTGAATTTTCTGGACATCGAGGACTAGATTCAGGGGCAGTGACTGAATCTGAATTTGGATGAGATGGAAGGATGGCCACAACTCAGTGGGGCAGCATGTGATTTGCATGCAGAAGGCCCCATGTTTACTTCCCAGCATCTCCATGTAGGGCTGGGAAAGACTCCTGATCTAAACCCCTGGAGAGAAACTGCCAGTCAGTGTAGACTATACTGAGCTAGATGGATCATTGCTCTGATGAAGTGTAAGGCAACTTCCTGTGGTTCTGCCTTCAGTAAAAAGCAGCAACAGTGTCAGCACCCCAGCAGTGTGGCCAAATGACAAGAACCCCCTGGACCTGCTCCTTCTCTGCACCATCTCTCACTCTGGCCCAGACAGCGGTAAGGAGGGCAAGCAAGCAGGTGGTAGCAAATGAGAAGAAAGAGGAATAGCTGGCAAGAATGCTAGTGAAAATGTAGACACACTGTGTCCAGGGATGGTGCCTTGCCCAAATGCCCTCCAAAACCTGGAACTGGCATTGCAAGGATTAGGTAATGAGAGACAGACTTATGCCATTGTCTGCCTGTATCTCCAAACATTCCTTGTTGACTACCTCACCCCCATTATTACTCTCCATTATCCATTATTACTCTCCTTCGTTGGAGGTTTCTAAGCAGAGGTTGGAGGACCTTCCATCTCCACGATTCTACGTTCACACCACAGACACTCAGATATCCTCAAACCTGATGCCCTCCACATGTTTTGGGGCACAGCTCCCACCATCCTAGACCCTGATGGTGATGGGAGTTATAGCCTAAGACATCTGGTGGCTTCTATGTGGTTTTGGACTACAACTCCCAGCATCTTAGACCAGGAGCCTGATGGGAGTTATAATCCAGAACACCTGGAGGAATGGAGGTCTGGGAAGGCTGCTTTTCACAATACAGGTGTTTCCCCCACTTACATGGGTTCGACTCAAGCGTGCTGCAGGGAAATAATTAAATAAATCTATTTAAACTGCAAAAAGGTACAAAAGCGGCCCAAAAAAGAGCAGGGGGAAACTGCAAAAATGGAGCAAAAAGAACAGGAAAATGGCTAGCAATCCCCAGCACTTTGGGGTATCTGTCTACCTCTGAATCATAGCCAGGCACTTCGGGGTACCGGTCTACCTTGCTTGTTGTTGTTCCCACATTGTACTCCAGTGATGAGGAAGACTGAGAGCTACCATTGCCACCATTCGTGCCAATCTAGTAAGTGCTGCTGGTTTTTTCTTTTTTTATTATTATAATTTTTATTAGCAAACCAATCAAATCACGTTAATTCCAAATTACAAAGCCAAATTTTTAAATTTTTGTTGGGGGTACCCATGCTTCGAGCTCCAAAAGGGATCCAAACATCTCTCTTGCTGCTGCTTTAATATTCACAATTCTGTCCAAATAGTATTCACAGTTCTGTCCAATCTTCACTTTATTATTTTCCTCATCTTCTTGTTGTTGTCATATATTCCTTTCTTTGTAACCTCTGATAGTGTCCACAAGCGGGTTAAAAACAAGTGCTGCTGGTTTTTTCAAGGGTTTCCAGAGGTTTAGAGGGTGTTTACAGGCTTTTTAGATTATGTTCCCTACTATACATGATTTCACATGGTACCCAGAAACGTAACCCCCACATAAGTAGGGAGCTACTTACACACACAGAGAGGGGTTCTTGGTGGCTTCCTCTTCCCAACTCTTAATAACAAATGTACCTTCCCACAGTAGTCCAAGACTAAGCACCCTTTAGAAGTTTGAGCTTTAGTCAGGAAATGAGGGGATCATTTAATTTAATCATTCTTCTAATTGTTGCTCTGCCTCAAGCCTTTGGGAATATTAGATAGATAATGTTCCAGTTGCAAGACTGAGAATAGATTTCTTCTTGTGAAGCATTGTGGGAGATTGACTGGAATTCCTTTACTATTTAAGCGCAGCTTCACTTCAAAACCTCTTTTTTTAAGCAATAAAAAATGAACAAAGAGGGAAACTCACCTGTCCACTTGTGGAACGCTATCGTCTATACATCTCCACATCAGATCAGAAGGTGCCAGCAGCCTGCCAGATGTTGTTGGATTCCAGCTCCCATCAACCGCAGCCAGCATGGCCAATGTCAAGGGATGTTGGGAGTTGTAGTCCAACAACATCTGGAGAAACACCAGTCCGATAGCCCTGGTCTATAAGGAGGATCTGGAATGCTGCTATAACCTAAAAGCTGGAAGCTTAGACAACGGATCAGAAAGGCACCAATTTGAATTTCACCTATGCCAGAGAGTCAGTCAACTGCCTTGGGCAAGCCAAGTCCCTCAGTCTCACCTCTTTCTTCCCCACCTGCAATTTGGAGCCAATATTAACAGATCTGCATTTTATGAAAAAAAACCAAATACATGTTGTTGCTTTGATGGGAACTGATGCTACTTCAATAACATAAAAGCCCTGCTGGATCAGACCAAAGGCCCATCTGTAGTCCACCATTCTGTTCTTACAGTGACCAACCAGATGCTCAGGTGGGAAGCATTCTCTCCCCACCTGTCATTCCCAGAAACTGATACGCAGAGGCATGCTACCTCCAGCAGCAGAGACAGAACACAGCCATCATGCCCAGTAGCATTCTTCCACTCACCAGCAACTAATATTCAGAAGTACACTGCCTCCAACAATGGAGGTAGAACATTTAGTCATCCTGGCTAGCAAAGACTGATAGTCTTATCCTCCATCAATTTGTCTAACTCCTCTTTTAAAGGCATCCAAGTCAGTGGTCATCATAACCTCTTCTGGGAGGAAATTCCCAAGTTTAACTATGTACTTTCCTTTGGTCTGCCCTGAATCTTCCCCACAGGACAGATTTAAAGATGCCTTGCCTGTCTGCTCAACTTTGATATTAACATATCTTAGAAAACCACCACAATTTCCTGGTACCTCCTCCTTAAACAGAAGCATGGCCCTGTCAAAAGTTACCCCTGAAGTGACAGCTCAGGAAAATGGAAGGGTGTGGAAAAACATGCAGTTTACAGACTGGAGCAAGAAATATTCTTTAGCCATTGCCTCAGATCTGTTCAATGTTTTGCCTGGTTTAGTAACTTCCCAATCCCACTCAATTACACCTTCATTTAAGAGGTTCAGTCAACTTGACTTTCATTCTCCAGCAGCTACTAACAAGATCTGTTCAATTACAGTTTGACAGCACAGCATCCAATACAGACAGAGTTCTCCCATGAATTTGAACAGTACACAAACACCAAATGCAAGGCAGCAGAGAGGGATAAGAAGAGAAATGTCATGCCTGCTCCTTGCTGTTGTACACCAACGATGATGTGTTAAATACTAATTGTGTGCTGTCAGGCAGGCAAAAAACAGCTGCATTCAGAGAAATAATCCTGCCAGCGGGATGAATCAAGCAAAAAAACACTCTCTGCCTTTCAAATTAGCAAGGTCTGTAAATCCTTCCAAAAGCATGTATCAGTCATTGATTTCTTATCTGGCAAGGAAGCAGATCTCAATTCAAGAAAGGCACCCAGGATTGGGGGCGGGTGGCCAGGAGAGAGATTGGGGAGATAAACCATGCTTTTCAAAATGAGACACCACCACAAACTTCCCATCCTGCCAATGAGCTCACTTAGGAAACTCTGCTTTCCCTATTTGGGGGAATAGCTGAGCTAAGACCTACACAGGTGCAGAATGTAATAGGCAGGAGCAAGCATCTCACCTGTCTGTGTTTCAAAGAAATAGTCAAGTGCTACCCATCTGTTTTCATTTTCTTTATTTAACAAAACAAAACAGGCTTTTGAGCTACATTCCCAGCACCTGCCATCAAGCACAGACGCTGAACACATACCAACACAGTTTATGTTGAGAAACTCAGATGATGCTGAGACTTAAAAACAAATAAATAGAAAGACTGATTCTCCTACCAAATGCGATTTTTCTTTTGGAAAAGTCACAAGCCAACTGAACATTCCCCCGTCCCTTAAAAACATGCCCCACTACCCACCAAACTCTTCTGCCAGATTCGAGGTGCTCTGACTGCTCTTTCCAAGTCTAGGAAGAAGCGAAGGGCCTAGAGTGATGGACCACTACGGCAGCCCCTAGCCCACTCAGGACTTTCCTCCCTTGTCCCACCGAGAGTGGAAGGAAGCAGACTGGGAAACTCGTCTCTCGGAAGCGAGTGTCTCTCGCAAAACACTCACCAGGAGGTCAGTGTCACACCTTGCAAACTCAGAGTGAAAGAGCAAGGAAACAGCAATGGTTCAACAGATACATTTGGCTGTTCTTGACGAGGCGGGACAGCATCATTAGTGCAAAACCTGATCAACTTCACAAAGGCAAGTCATCTGTGTGTCCCCCAAAAGTCATCCTTTAAGCCTCACCCCCAAACACACACCACCAGTTAAGATGTCTTTACTCACAGTTTGGCCTTCTCCCTCTGTCTGGGTCCCAGACTCTTCTCTGACCAAGGAAGCCATTCCATTCCTTGCCTCCTCCTCCTCCTCCTCTTCTTCTCCACCTTCTCTTCCTTTCATTCCAATGCTTCCTCCATCGTTCCCCAGCTTCAATCTCTTCCCCTCGGGTTGTGGATCCTCCACTTCCTCTCGCCTCATCTTGCCATCTCTGACTCTCTGTTTCACTGCCTCCTCCAAGCTGCTAGCAGGATTGGACATTTTAGAAAAAGAACAAGGAAGGTTGTGCACTTTACTCTATTTTTTTCAGTATTATTTTGGCCTAGCAAAGCTGCCTCTTTGAGGGAAGATTTGGGGCTTCTGAGAGCTGCCAGCCTTGCTCTCTCCGATATGCACAGGCTTCTTTTAAAAATTTAGCTGGTGTTTCAGTGCCTTTGCAAAGCTTGTCACTTCCATTTCTTTAGCTCCCTCTGCTGCTGGCTAGAGTGATTCCTTCGGCAGCGGTGTCTGCACAAGGCAGGGTACAAACTTTAATATCTCTCTCCCAAACACACATGCAATAACCTTTCAGATATTGATCATTTCCCCTAACAATGATTACCTTGACTAAATCCTCAGTTTCACTGTTTATACATTTCTGGTCCTATCAAAATAGGGTTCTGTTTGTTTTTATAATTTTTTTTTAAAATCCTTATCAAATTGGGCAGTTTAGATCCCATTAAAGGTAAAGGGACCCCTGACCATTAGGTCCAGTCATGGCCAACTCTGGGGTTGCGGCGCTCATCTCGCTTTATTGGCCGAGGGAGCCGGCGTACAGCTTCTGGGTCATGTGGCCAGCATGACTAAGCCGCTTCTGGCGAACCAGAGCAGCACACGGAAATGCCGTTCACCTTCCCACCGGAGCGGTACCTATTTATCTACTTGCACTTTGAAGTGCTTTTGAACTGCTAGGTTGGCAGGAGCAGGGATGGAGCAACGGGAGCTCACCCGTCGCGGGGATTCGAACCACCGACCTTCTGATCAGCAAGTTCTAGGCTCTGTGGTTTAACCCACAGCGCTTGATCACCTAACTATGCCAAAATTCAAGCATTGGAATTTTTTGTACACCCTAGTGCTGTGGGATTTAGTGAATTGTCTGGCTGCCTGTGGAGCTAGGGAAATGTTCACTTTAAGAAAGTCCATGTTTCTAGTCCTTATTGTGAGGCAACTGTTTCCTTCCCCATTACCCACCAGAGGCAGAAAGGCTCATTGGGGAGGAGGTTTCTCAGGGTGAGTCAGGCATCCTTGATTCATTTGAAAAGCCCAAGACTGCACTGCTCTCTTTTTTAAAGGAACTAATTCATGACTGAATAAGAGAGGTTTCTGAAGTCTCCCCCTGAAGATCCTGAATCTTCCATCATTCAGCTTTATTGGATGTCCATGAGTCCCCTTGTCTATTATTCTCCTTTGGAAAACCCATTCATGCGATCTTTCTCTGGGAAACGGCTTGCCAGCATCTACAGCTAGCAGTTATCGAGGGGTAGTAGTAGCAGTTGGTAATAATGGCACTGAGGAGAGAAGCCAGCCTCTCCCAACCTGGTGGCTTGCAGTTGTCTTGTATTACACCCCTATCATACCCTAACACCCAACACAACTGTGTTGATGGGGGTTGTACCTGAGGCTCTACAAACTGCAGCTCCCATAATTCTTTTGGGGAAGCCATGACTGTTTAAAGTGGCATCATAGTGCTTTAATTGTCTGGTGTGAATGTGGCCTCGGAAGACTTCAGCATCTGAACAAGGAGACCTCCCCAGTCTAACTAACCACTGTCCTGCACTGTCTCTTGGTAGATCATAATATCTAGTACTTTGAGTAGCACATTGGTCTTTCACCAGTGATGAGAATAGGACATAGCATAGCACTGGTACACACTATGATGGCATTTACAGACACACACAGAGAGAGAGAGCTTGTTCTGTTGTTACAGGCTTACATTGGCCCTTTGTAAGCTGGAATTTCACTTATCCTGTCTTGGCAGAACTTCAGGGCAAATGTCCTCAGACCCCCCCCCCCTTAGAAGAATAAGCATGAGACCCCAGCATCTAAAGATATAGGGAAGAGACTATAAGATCTTTAAGTCAAAGTCAGCAATTGCCTAACTACACCTCTGCAAGTGCTACAGTGCCCCCGCCTCCTAAAAAAATGTATTGCTTTTTTAGTAAGAATTCTTTGATACACCAATACAGAGAAATAACTGATTCCCAGTGTTGCCCGTGGTGAAGGGGTGACTTTCAACCTACGTTGATACCTGGGAGTAAAGATCTATTGAACACAATGAGACTTTATTTTCAATGGGCATGAGTAAGATTGCACTGGAAAACCAGGACATCTGCACTGTAGATATAGCCTGCAAAAGACATGCTTTTCCCAAGTCAGACCATTGGTCCATCCAGCTCAGTATTGTCTTCACTGACTGGCAGCCACTCTCCAGTGTTTCAAAGCAGAGGTCTCTCCCAGCTGTTCTTGGAGATGTTGGGGGTTGAACCTGGGACCTTCTGCCTGCAAAGCAGATGCTCCACCACTGAGCTATGGGTGGAGTTTCCTCAAGTCAATGCCAATGTTATATATACAGCAGCAATGCGCTGTCTGGGGTGCTGAGATATCCTCAGTAAAGGTATAATGTTACTGGTTCTAAAATACGGCTTTAAAAAAAGTCAGCCTTTGCATCCTTGGACATCCATCCCAAGCTAAGGTGCCAACTGACTAACCTGCCCTGCTGTTGCACCTTTCATGGCAGCTTTCTGCAGGTAAATCAGATGGAGATTTTGTGTGTGTGTGGCTGAATGATGACCCTTGTCCTAAAGCACAGAAGCACATTCAGCAGCTTAGAAAGGCGCAGCCACCGGGGCCAATTGGAAAGTTGGCAACCCTAAACCCCAAAGAACCAACGAAGTCACAAGAGATGAGTTCTGCTGATTAATCTAATCTGCTGCTTTTACACCTGATTGTCCAAAGGGGGAATCGATTATCCAGATGAGTTCACAGAAATGAAAAATTCATTTCCAGGTTTTCATTTTACTTACATTACCTCCCGCACTTAAGCTCTACAATGCATGGTCCTAATTACTTCTTAAAAGCCAGTAAATATTTCATTAGCTCTTATTGGATTACTTTATGTTCCATGGTCTACAAGGGGAGAGATGCCAGCCATAGGGAATGGAAACCCAGGCAAAAATGTGTAGGAAACCCCTCTATATTAATACTCATTTGTACTGCACTTATTAAGGTCTGCCTATATTACAGACTTCAAAATGGTTCAATGGTCATTCCTTCTCCCCTTGGGAGCCCTCGGAAATGCATCTCTTCCCTGGAGGGATCTAAGGATGTTCAACACAGAATTGTAGCTCTGTGAGGAAAAGGGGGGGTGTCTCCTAAGCTTAAAAAAACTACAGTGGGAATTTAAAGTAGTATAGTGATTTAAATGTATAGTGTGAATGTTTCTTGAGTCTTGTTAGAATTGTGAAGAAGTATCACGAACCCTGTATCCAGCAGGGATCTGGACAGAGTTGGAGGCTGCTGGGGCACCGAATGAGGAGCTGGATCTGGGTCATGGCTCACAGCTGACTGCAGAAGATAAAGAGACCACTCTACCTGAGGCGGTTGGACAAGGACTCCTGGAGGGGCCTCCCAGACCACCGGAGCCTATAGGGCCAAAGCCTGAACCCTCACAGACACCTTCCACTGAGTCTGAGGAACCAGATGCCTCCCACTACACATCACCAGTCCAAGAGAGCAGCAAGAGGGAGGCTCTGGAATTAAGGTGGTGTGCTCCGCCTTAAGGCTGAGGGTTGACTCTTCAGAGAACTCTAAAGTTCTCTCAGAGGGGTGGAGCCTGGAGGAGGTTGTGGGGAGACAGAGGCATCAAAGAGCTCAGTCTCCTCCCAACCATTGTTGGAGCAAACTGATCACTCAGCACTTTCTGTGGTCCAGTAACTTTCATCCAGCCTTGCTGCTTTCCCTGTGAGTTCTGCCATCAGGCCAAAACATGGTAAGAAGCAAGGCCCACTGGCACCTTCTTTCTCGTCTGTGTTTGATTTTTGGTCTGTTACTAGCAGGGAAAAGAAGTGAGCAGTTCTTGCTGTGGATGACCAACAATTCATCATACCATGCAGGGTGAGAGCCGGGGTGAGTTGCAGAGGAGGAGCAAAGGGTGTAAAAGCTGCCTACTGAGAGTCCCTCGACAGACAGTGGAGCCTCCCTAGTGTGGAAGACTGAGGGGAGGAATAAATGGACAGCCCCAGGAAAAAGATAAGTTGGGAAATGTTGCCAAGACAATTTTGTTGTTTAGTCAGTTGTTTTCTTTATCCATGTTCTTGCTAATATTGAAAATTCTAATTGTTTTCCTCCTTGCAGCTTAGCTTTGTTTGCTTCGTGATGGATCTGTTGGGTGGTTCATTATTTACTGGACCTGTTTTATGGCTTTTGTACCTTTCTGTATATTTTACTTTTTCCTGTGTCTTTTTATTATTACTGAAGAAGGAACAGGGTTTAGTGAGCAGGAAAAGGCTATGGCAGAGAGCAGTTCAGAATCAGAGGCAGAGGCAGAGGAAGGAGAGGAGAGGCAGAGATGAGGCAGGCTGTGACTGGCAGCTCCCCTCCCTCTTGGCCTCCCAGAACTCAAAGAGGTATGCAGAGGGCAGGGCAAAAACAGGCAAGATGATGGAGACTCAAATTACTTGGGAAGGAACCAGGTGAGGAGACAACCTAGGGAGCTGTGGGAAGGCAGGGATCTTTGGTCCTGGCAACTGCCTCACAGGAACAAGATATACCAGGAAGAATTGATGTGCTCACTAGGCCTGCCCTCCTGAGCTGTTTTGTTTCTTTGAATAAAAGGAGTTAAACTTCACTGGCACCGTGTGAGTTATTGCTGACCTGCTCCTGACACCCCCAGTGAAACGAGCGCAAAGCAACTGGGCATCTCTTCTTCTTTCCCACAATTATGTGCTGTAGAATGAAAAGTGTTATAAGGCATCACTGAACCACACAGTGCTTCAGTTGTGAACAGTGGCCAATGAAGTTTGATGGAAATGGAGAAACTCAGAATGACATCACACCAGAAATGGAACACAAGAATACAAAGAGAGCCCTGCTCAGTTGCAAAGCATCAGCTTTGCATGCAAAAGGTACCAGCTTCAATCCCCCAGCACCTCCAAGTAGGACTGAGCTGAAATCCTGCCTTGGGCTACAGGGCTTGGCATTAAGACTGAAATCTGCCACTAGAGATTAACAAATCTCAGTTTTGGCTTATCTTAGTTTTTCAAATAGCAAATATTACATTCAATTCATCCCATTTCTGCATCAGTTTTCATGTATGCATGTATGTATAAACACAGACATGTGTACTCATTTTTGCATACATTTCTCTAAACGAAGAAACTTTGGCAAGTAATTTCACTAATATGATGTCTTTTTTGCATGTTGCGTTCACTACCATACGCATTTTTTAGTATACTTTCCCTAAGGCATGCAGTTTTGTATGGGTTTTTTTAGAACTGCATTGCAAAATTCAGAGAAGTGAGAATTTTGAAGTACAGTTACATATCAGTTCACATTGGTTTGGGGAGTGCAAATTTGGGAAGTGTCCACTAAAAGGCAAACGAAACAATTTTCTCCCCCAATCCACTACCCACCATGATCTGCTAAGTCCCTCTTCTGGCTCGCAAACAATTTCTCTGCAGCCAGAACCCTACAAATCCAGCCCAAACCAGTCAGTGGTTGCCTGTTTATTTCCTTCCCTTCGGTTTCACTTTCTTGGTCTGTTCTCCTAACCATATGCCTGCCGCATTCCTCTATCTTGCCATCTGCGTCTACCAGCTCCAAATAATGTACTGGCTGTTCCAGATCTCCAGTTTCATTCATCATTAGATTTCATGCTAGGAACAAACTTCAAAGCTTGTGTCAGCAACAGCTGCTGTGCATTGAAATCAACTTATCTGTATTGCTAAGGAACTTGTCTGAAGGAAATCCTTGCCGAGCTCTTTCTTGGTCCACCTGCCACAGTTTCTGCAGCAAGGGGGAAAAAAGCCAAACCAAACAGGACCAGTTTCCAGTTTGGGAATCCTTTGAGGAGTCTTTACAGTTCACCTTCCTCTAGTGATTTTACATGGCTGGAATGTGTCCTTAAACTATGGTGCTTCCTCTTGCTTGCCCAGACAGAGGATGGAGAGTTGGGGGCGTGGCCACAGCCACTTTGGCCACACCCACCACTGGTATGCATCCTGCAGAAAGTTGCTCCCAAGAGAATATGGTCTTGGAGCTACAAAAGGTTCCCCATGCCTGCTTTACAAACAGGGCAAAGATAAAAGGCTCATTTAAATGCCCTGCTCTTTCTTCTCCATTTCCTGCTTTTGGTTGTGTAATGGGTAAGCATTTATCCGTTAACGTCCGCACTGGTCAGTCTGCTTTTGCCAGGAAGCAGAGTTATAAGTCCTTAACTGCAACACTTTCTATGGTTGCTAACATGCCTTGATTTGAACAGAACAGCCTAATGGTCTCTATTAAATGGAACACAACTGAAAGCATGCCTGCTTATTATGGGTAGTAGGTAGAACAACCACATGGAATTTCAGGATGGAGGGATGAAAGGGATGGGGAAGGAATTTCAAATCAACAGGGGTCAGGTTTTAGGAAAAAGCAGGTGCTTGTGCCCAATTTATTCATCAGCTCTAGTTTCAGAAGGCTGATCACCGAAGAATTGATGCTTTTGAATTATGGTGCTGGAGGAGACTCTTGAGGGTCCCATGGACCACAAGAAGATCAAACCTATCCATTCTTAAGGAAATTAGCCCTGAGTGCTCACTGGAAGGACAGATCGTGAAGCTGAGGCTCCAATACTTTGGCCACCTCATGAGAAGAGAAGACTCCCTGGAAAAGACCCTGATGTTGGGAAAAATGGAGGGCACAAGGAGAAGGGGACGACAGAGGAAGAGATGGTTGGACAGTGTTCTCAAAGCTACAAACATGAGTCTGACCAAACTGCGGGAGGCAGTGGAAGGCAGGAGTGCCTGGCATGCTCTGGTCCATGGGGTCACGAAGAGTCGGACACGACTAAACGACTAAACAAGCAACAAAAGTTTCTGTAGGTCACTTAGGGATTGGACCGGGGGGGCGGGCAGTTTGCACAGATATACTTTGGAAAGTACTTTGACTACAAAGACGACACCTCCCACCCCACCCCCAGGAGAAACTGCATCTTCTGCAAGACTAACATTTCAATTTAGATTGGGAGGAGTGGATTTAGGTTACCAACGACAGTTTACACCAGAAAGGGTGTAGCTAGCACCTACATTTTGGAACTTTCTACCTCTTGATACTAGGCAGGTACCTTCACCAAAATTCTCAGTGCCTACTGAAAAACTATGTTTCAGAAGGACTGCCCACAAATGTACATTTGATGTGTATTTTAGTATGTGCATTATAATGCATTTTAAATAAAACTGCTGCTTTCATTCCAAAAAGGGCTAACTTGTTTTTTTAAAAATCTGATTATATTGGTAATTTTAATGTGTATTTTATGTTATGTAAACCCCTTAGAGATTTTGAA